TGTTTATACCACACTTGAGCACTTACAAAGCATTTTCAAATCCCACATAATCCCCGCTAGGAAGGTTGGGAATCATTACCCATGTTTTAAGGAAGAGGAATCAGTTCCAGAAGAGTTAGATGGTTTGTCCTAAGTCACAGAGGTGGAACTAGAACCCAAAATCCTCTGACGCCAGCTTGGGGCAACAGTGGAGACCCCCGACCTCCAACTGCCCACTCCATTTGGCCAGCCAGATATCTATTTTATGTGTTGGTTATTTTCCTCCAGCTGAAGGGTACATTCTTAAAAGGAAGTAATTTGTCTCATAGTCCTTTTATATTCTGCAAAGTATGAGGCCAAGATTTTGGGGGAGACACTTAAGAAATAATTACTGATCACTCATCACTGGATCTTGTGGTTCTTCGCATTCAAGTTTCGATTCCCTTCCATTTAAATTCAGTTAACTGCTTGGTCAGATCTGTTGGCAAGTATTACTGCTTATCTGTCTGAGATTGAAGAGTTAATGTTTGTAGTCCACGCCTTTGTTTGTCCTTCCAAATGAAAAATACCCCAGCAGGTTTCTCAGTAAGGAAAAGAGAGCTGGTAAATTTTTGGGGTCTGTCTGAGTCTACACTTTCCCCAAATGGTCAAGAAGCCAAAGGGAATTGGCTTTCTTTTTGCCTTCTGGAATTACTAAGCATAGGTGTACTTAGGGGCAGAATTAGACACCAAAAAGCAAGGTTAAGATCAAAACTCATGTATTTAGAGTCTAGAAAGGTATTCGATATGTAGTGATCATGAAACCTTTTTCTCATTTCTCAATGTGCCATGTTTGACCTTTTCTCACAATTTCTGCTATTTATACCTGTGTCTCCATTATCTATCATCCGCACCACCAAAGAGAGGTCTCCGTTTTGCCCCCTTTACCATCCATCTACCACACAGCAGCCAGAGTGATCTTTATGAAATTTAATCAGATCACATCAGAGCCCTTTCTGAAACTCCCCAAAGATATCTTACTGAATTTAGAGGAAGGTCCAAACTCTTTACAAAATCTGCAAGAACCTACATCACCCGGCCTTGACTACCTTCCTGACTCCATCTCATGTCATACCACTTTCACCGTTGCCTTCCATGACCTGGATCCCCCAGTCCTGGACATGTAGGATTCATTTTCATCATCTAACCTTTGCACTGGCTGTTCATTTTGTCTGGACTACCCTTCTCCCAGATCTTTTCAAAGTGGGTCTCTAACTGATGATGTCTCAGCTCCAAGAGTGTCCTCTCCAGGATGCCCTCCATAACCTCTTCTCCATCCTTTGTGTCCTCTGTGGCCAGTACCCTATTTTTTAGCTTCTTTATGTATTTGTTGATTGTGTCTTTGTTTGCATTTATGGAGAACCTCAATAAGCATTTGCTGAATGAATGAACAAATGAATTCTTATCATTAGAGTCTTCAAGGAACCATTCAACCTTAAAAATAGAACAGAGAACTTTAAACTTTTGACCTTAAGAACCATTTAATTCAATGGTTTTCAGATCTTCTTTAGCAGTGAAATCATATTTCTAAATCCAACCTTAAGCCCAATCCCAATATCTGAGACAGAATAAAGCTAAGCTATTCTAGAGAAGGGGGTTGCAGTGCTCCTCCATTCATTCTGAGTCACAGCCTGGAATCCTAGGGCTTAAGCAAGCCCATGTTGAAAATGACTGAAGCAAACCCCCTCATTCTACAGATGGGAAAACCAGTGCTTAGAGCAGTTCTCCTCTACCCAAAAACTCTTCAAGAAGAAAAGGGTCACTGGTTTGCATCCTAGTCCCCAGCATGGTTTCTGGCACAGAGCAAGAGCTCAGGTAACATGAGTTGAATTGTTTAGGTGACACACTGAGTTGAAGGAGAAATGGAATTGGGTGCCAAATCTGGAGGCTCTGATCTTCCAATGCAGCAGTGAGAACAGTAGAGGGACCATAGCTTCCATCTAGTTAAGATTCAGGTGCCTCGTTTGGAATCAGGCATAGTGGACAAAACCAGCGTTATGATCCCAAAGACGTCTCACATGGATGGAGAAGCCACTAATGCTATTATTTTGTACCTCTCCAACCCTCTGATTCCATTTGTGAAAGAAAGCAGGGAAGATAGTATTGCCATCTCCTTTTACCTCCTCTTTATTCTTAGTCTCTTTCTTCCTCCTCTTTCTTTTCTAGAAAATTATAAAATGATACAGGCATGCAAAACAGCATAGAGGAGAGTATAGTGAACGAAACAAACAATGTGAACCCACACTTAGCTTCAGAGAGAAAATGTTACAAATCCAGCAGAAACCTTCCTCCTCTGTTCTTTCTCCTCACTCCTTTAATCCCTTCTTCTGTCTTCCCTCCTTCTCCTCTTCTGTTTACTCCTCCCCTCTCTCCCGATTTCTCTCCTCATTGCCTCCCCCAACTCTCTTTGCCCTGCCACCTCTCTTGTCTTCTGTATCACATTTTTTTCCTCCTCATTCTTGTTGCTTCTCCCTTTCTTTTCTTCCCCATCAGTCCCTTCTTTTGCTTTCTTCTCTCCTGCCTCTTTAGTGAGCACGTGTGGGTCTGCGACTCATTCCTATGGCTGTTCACTGTCAAGGATGGGAGCTCAGCATCTCTTGGAATTGCTTCTCCTACAAATCTTAGGTTATCTGCCCTTGCAGTGATAGTTCTTTGGCCATATATCCCCCTGGCTAGAAACACTGGGTGCTTCTGCTGTTACTTCTGAAAGATCCTGTCCAGCTTGCTTTCTCTAGGGTGAAATTTTACTATAATTAGATGCAAGTGCTGGACAGTTTGTCCAGATTTTTCTCATAGAGGAAAGAGCAATAACCTGATACATCTCCATGTTTTACTCAGCATTTCCAGAACATTCTTCTGATATTTCTCCCTGCATTTCTATTTCTCTATATCATTGGGGACATTTTCTACCACTTTTCAGGTTATACTCTGTTGACTTTGAAGAATTTGACTTATTCTTCCTGGGACCAGATACTGGGAAAACTGCCTGCTCAAACATATGGGAGAATCTTTTGGACTTATCATTAGAGGAATAACTCTATATGTCATGAGGGAGTGGGGGTTCAGGGTTGAGTGATTATGCCTCACCTCCTTTATCAGCTCAAAGCCAGAAAAACCAACAAATAGACCATTGATTTGCATTCCTATAAACAGATTCATTCATAGGGTATAGTTGACTGAGGTCACTTCTAGGTTCTTTTTCAATGTTGAGACTTTGACACTTCCTATTTCAGTAGTGGGGGGCGATGATCTAGTGGCAGTGAAAGGCAAGAAACTCCTTCCCCATTAGTAGCACCTTCTTTGGTTCTGTGGCAGCTGGGAACTCTGTTACCCTCTTATAGTCTGAGATTAAATGCGGCAATTTCATCCTGCAGGTTATCTACAGCTGTTACGAATACATTGGAAAAGTCTTCCCATTCCAAAAAGATTTATGTTCCTGTGTGAACCCATCCAACACATTTGGTTGATTAAAATGCTGTACTTAGACTAAAATAAGAATGGCTCCAGTGACCCTTCCACACTCTTTAGTAACAATGCTAATGTTTTCACAGTGTTTTCAGCTTTACTAGCCAATTTTGGCCTTACAACAAGTTCTGCCAAGACCAGGCATTATCACTTCCATTTTGCAGATGAGGAAACTGTAGAAGGAAAGATTTGACCAAGATGAGTGTGGTCTGGCAGTACCCAAAGACCTCAAACCTTTATTTGATCAGGGAGCTTCCCTGGTGCCTGGAAGAAATCGAGTGACAACCAGAGCTGCCTTGAGTGAGGGCCAGCAGAAGCAGCCTACAGCCTGGGCTTGCCAGGGACCCCACCTCTGATATATACACATACACTACACACCCACCAAGAATAATTGTCAAGCCCTGGACTCTGCAGTGCTCCCTCCACTGTGGTACTGCAAAGCGTTGGCAGGCAACTGCAATGAAGGCTTTTCCACTTCTGGATCCCTGCCTACACTGCAGAATTTTAACAAGGAGAAGGGAAGGGGGGGAAGTTTATGGTCTGATCTAATCACAGATGAACTGAGAGCTCAGTGGCAGCCAGTAGTTGCAGAAGCAGAGGACTTCAAAGCTATTACAGAGCCCACCCTCTATTTCTGAGGTGAGCAAATGTTGTGCCCAGCCAGTATCATGTGTGGCACCTAGTAGGTGCTCAATAAGCAAAGGCCACCACTGTTCTTATTCTTACCATGACTATGACTATGCGTTGGGCCCCAGGTCACACAGAGGTAGCACAAAATTCTAGGACATGAAAGTCTCTGCTGCGGACTGTGGCAAATATCAAGTAGCGTTAAGGATGGAATTAATAAAAATGAAACTTTAAGGGGAAAATGCTATCAAATTTCTCTTCTGTTTTATTGTTGTTCTTTGTGAGACTGGTTTTTCCCAAGGGACTAAGAAGCTCTCTGTGGCTTTTTGTTGTACATTTCCTTCTGACTCCTTCCTGGTCCTCTGTTATAGGGACCTCAGAATATTGCTAAAGCCAGTGTCGCTTTCTGGCCTTCCCATATGCTTTCTGCTGGGGTAGTTGTGAAGCCCTGTCTGCCTCCCATGCAAATCACAGGCCATTGAGGACACATTTCATTGCCTTTCACTTGACAGGGCCATGGCATTTGCCTAAAAGAAAGGACTTCCTTTGACACACTGATATTGGGCAAATCACAAAAGCATAAAAACTCATGTTTCAATATCTTCTCTCTTCCTCCATCTTTCTTCTTTCTTTCTCTTCCTTTCATTACGCTTTCCTTCCCTCCTTTTCTTCTTGCAACAGCAAGGACATATGCACAGAGAGCCAGGCATTATCTTCTGGCAGCAGTCCAGCCTACACCCAGCCCAGCTCCCTGCCCCCCAGTCACCCTCCAGGGTAGAGAATGGAGAAAGGCACTGAGCTGAGTACATGCACCCCTTTCCTGAGGGCTCTCTTTAAGATGTCACTCTTTGATATCTGTACTCAACCAAGTCCCTCCCACAGTGCCTAACCTGGACAGAAGCAGCCTCCTCTTGTGCTGAGAGGAGCATCGCCCTCTTCGAGTCCCCCAGTGCACCTCACATCCCTCAGACCCCAGCCACTGCGGGTCTGGCCCTCGCTCCATATTCTCAACTCTAACCACAGCCCCTAGGAGTAGGGGTAACATTCCGTATTCTGAAATGGAATACTTACATTTCTTTAGTGAGACCTTTTCCCACAAAGAGTTATTCCCATGTTTATACCTACCCTGCTGAATGACCTAGAAGAAATTATCTAATCTCTGTGAACTCCGTTTCCTTCTTTCAGAATGAGAAGAATAACTGGCTTATGGAATTAAGTATCTGGCACATAATAGGTATAGTAAGGATCAGCCAGCAGACTTCTTGGCTTCCTATCTCACTTTTCTCCTGTTTTCCAGCCTATGCATTGTTCCCTGATTGTCCTACCTCACCCTTGTCTTGCCTGGACATGGACCTTTATATAAATGATGTGGTCTCAAGCCAGAGCCTGGCCACCCTCCATGATCCCAGCTGGGCCAATGCTTGGGGCTGTCCGTCTGTATCCCAGTGCTGTGTTGCTGGACAGTGGCACAGGATTGGAGGGAGTACCCAGAGCATACAGACAGACAATGAAGGAGCCAGAAACCACTGTTACTGGGGCCAGTGGTGAGCAACTCCTCAAAGCCCACATCAGTATTCCCTAGGATGAGATCCAGAAATTTTGGGCCCAGAGTTGATGTGGAATGGCTTGAAGTGGTCTGATAATTTAGTTAGTATAGCACAGTGGACAAGGACATGAATTTTGAAGACAGACTGTCTAGGTTTCAAACTGGCGCTGCTATTTTCTGAATCTATAATGTAGGGTAAATTACTTAACCTCTCTGTGCTTTAGTTTCCCTGTCTATAATATGTGGCTAATAATATTACTTCATAGGATGACTATAAGGTTTTAATGAAGTCACACTCGTAAAGCATTCAGAAAAGTGACTGTCTGTCCAGAGGCACTTAATAAATGTGGGCTCCTTTTATCAGTACTAGTATCATTACTATTGGAATCATTATCATCATCATTATCAAAGTGTGAGAACCAGCAAAGCTGCTGCACATAGTGGGTGGGAGAATTGATTGATAAAATAGAGGTGGATATATGAAATAGTTTACATAAAAAATAGATACAATAAAACTGAAAGCAATAGCAATTGACAGGAGAAAGGAGACAAAAATCAAATTAGGAAAGAGGAGAAAATCAAGCATAAACTTTGCTGTGAGCTTCCTAGTAACCCACTGCAGAAAGGGAAATCCAATAAGACATGCCATTATCATGATTTAGTGCTAGGAAATATATAATATCATCACTAGAAACTTCAGCTCTAAGAAGATCTTATCATAAGAATATTTGGTTTGAATTTTTTTGCAAATCCAAGATTTCAAGTTTCAACTCCATAAGAAAAGAGAATTATAATGAGATTTGGAAAAAGTATCATAGTAAAAATGGTTGAAGGAATGTGAGCTCTTTAACCCCCCCAAAAAAGAAATGGTTGGAAGAAACATGATGTTCCCTTTGAAAACTTCACTACCACATGAAGTGGGGAGTAGCATTGTTCTGCAGTGTTTCTGAAAACAGAACCAGAACTCCATGGTGGAATATCTCAAGAATATAAGTTGGGTTTCAGCTAAAGACATAAATTCACCCAAACTCAAGTAATCCAACAGCACAGTCAAGTGAGCCATGAGGTTTCTGTCCATGCAAATGTTGTCCAGATGGCCACCCTTCAGGACTATGCCGGAAGGCTCACTGCATTTTCAGGGAGCATAGCGATGACTCCTGAAACCCTTTCTTTCATATTCTCCAAGCTCACAGAAGATGGGAACAGATTATCAAAAAGAGAGATGAGCTTGTCTCCCTTGAATGTGGCTTAATGACTCCAACAAAACCATTCCTTTCTAAGCTACTCACTTAGAAATCAACAGATAGTCTGGCTACCAAGTAACTTTTTTAAATTACTGTTTAAGATAAAGACTATTAGAAAATCAATTGGCCAAGCAATTGTCAGTAGATTTGAGGCAACTCTTTCCTCATTGGAAGTGACTATATTACCTGCCACCAACCTCCTCTGTGTGTCCCAGTTGCAATCAGCACAAGCAAGTGTATATCCCCCAGGATCCCACAGCCCCAACCCAGCGCTCTTCCATCAGTGTACTCATCACCTGTGCTGCTGTCCTCTCGTCCTCAGCAGAGCCCCTTTGGGCAGTGCCATATTTGTTCAGCATCATATGAGCAGTTCCAATGGAGATCTTGTCCCATAACAGACATCTTTAGCTTATAGATAGGAGCATGGGTTCTAGAGCCTGACTGCCTGGGTTTGAATTATGGCTCCATCATTTACTGGCTCTGAGGTTTTCAAGACCCTGTTTCCTTATTTGTAAAATAGGATTGATCTGAGTACCCCCTACACACAAAGTCACACACAAAGTCACACACAAAGTCACACACACACACACACACACAATTGTAGTATAAGTTAAACAAGAAAATAAAAGTTAAGCTTTTAGCATAGTGGTTGCTTAGCATATCAGGGATTGGCAAACTATTTCTATCAAGAGTCAGATAGTCAATATTTGCAGTTTTTGATGGTCTCTGATACAACTATTCAGGTCTGCCATTGTAGCATGAAAACACCCAGAGATAAGAATACATAAGTAAATGTGCATGTTGGTATTCCAATACATCTTATTTACACGAACAGGTTGTGGGCACAATTTTTGCCAATCTCTATAATTATATACAGCAGCAAGTCAGATGACCAGAAGGAAAATTTAAGCAACCACAGAGGCAAATGGGAAGAAACAAGGTGATAGAATGGTGGTTTCAGTAGCAGCACCCAGTGGTTAAGGATATGGGCTATAGAGACAGGAAAACCTGGGTTTAAATCTGGTTTAGATGAATGGTATATACTCTCTGAGCCTTAGTTTCCTAATATGTAAAATACAAAGTGGCAAGTAAATGGGACCTATCTCAAATGGCTGATATGTGTGGATTAAAAGAGATAATGAGACATAGTGCCAGGCGCTTAGTACGATCTCAATAAATGTGACCAATGAGAACATTGATGGCAAAGTGACGGTTGAGCTTAACTAAATCAAATTGAATGATGGCTTCTCCTTCCCTTAAGGATGCCCAGAGAGTATGGCTCATTAGGTAGAGCAAGGGCTTTCGATCCTGAAAGTGCCTGGCATCCTGCCTTGAACCTTCTATTTCACTGTCTGTAAATGGGACCAGTATTCCCAGCTTTCTCCCTGCAGAGGAACTGTAATGGGACCACGGAGAGAGATCTTGCCTACTGCCTATCTAGAAATATGATGTCAAGTCGGCACCAAAATCAATGATTGCAGTCTCCCTACGTGTCAGAAAAGAGCCTCCTCAAGTGGATCTGAGAATAGCAGGGCCAAAAGATCAGTAATGGAGAATATGAATTTTTGTCCTGGGCTGTGCAGAGCCACTTGAAGACTCAGGATTGGAACAGGTCTGGGAAGGCCCTTGGCTTAGATTGCTTTGTTTGATATTAGTGTCCTGGAAATGGACCTCTGTGCATATCACATTTTGTTCGGGAAGATACTGCAATCAAAGATGAGGCTCACAATGTTCCTTTCCACTCCTTGTTGGCACATGAAGACTGCCTAACAAATGGGTCTTCCTACTGTTCATATTGTGCTTTTTTTTTTTTAACTCTAAAAGATTTTATTCCTCACTTTTTTTTTTTTTTTTGTATCAGGTTTTCCAGAAAAAAAATAACTGGACTCTTATAGCACTAATTAATGTTATCAGGCATCTCTTCCCTAATCATATAATAATTGGTATTGATTTTCAATTTATGTCATCTCTCTCCACTAAGTTCATGGGATTCTCAAAAAACTACCTATCTTTTTTTTTTTTCCCTAGCCCTCGAAATCATAAACCTGTTTTTCCTTTCCTTTCCCTTCCCTCCCTTCCTCCCTTTCTCCCTTCTCTCTTCCAGTTTACTTCTACCAAGCACCCAGTGTGTTCCCTGTGTGCCAAACATCATGCTGGGTATCAGGGATACCTTTTAAGTCCTCAAGTCTAGAGGATGAAATGGGCAAGTTACAGACATTATGGTACAAGGCAAGCTCTAAACAAGGTCAAGCTACAGTGGAAAGCCACCTTCACGGTGCCTAACCTGTTGCTGTAGTCAGGAAATTCTTCCCAGGGGAAGGGAACCTGGGCCATTCCTTTAAGGATGAATAGGAATTCAAGTATGTGAAGAAAAGGAAGCCACAGATTTGAGGATGTGCCTAATTTAAATAGGGAAATGAAAGTTGTTCCTTTCACCTGAACTGGTTTATTGTAGTGAGGGCAAAGTCAAGTGGCAGATATCAGAAGACTGGTGGACAGGAAGTATGAAGGATTCTATAGGCCAAACAGATCTTCTGGAGCTTAGGGAAAGTGCACATCTATGAAGTAAACTTAAACATTGGGTGTTTCTGTTTTGGCTGTAGTTATCTCAAGAATGTTGTCTTCTTGGTTCACCATTACTAATTAGAAGCTTTAACAGTTATACATGGCTTTGATACATAGAATGATGAAATAAGTTAATCACAAATAGATAATTATAAACTATGCTAAGTGTTATGAGAAAAAAAATGGGATCTTATGATAGAATAATAGGGAGACCAAATTTCCATCAGGGGTAAGGCAAGTACTTTCTAAAGAAGTGACATTAAAGTTCAGGAGGGATGGTGGGCATTACCAAGGGATTATCAAGGGGTAGGCATAGAAAGAGAGTGCTCTAGGCAAAAGAGTACTCTTCATGCCAGTCTTGAGGCAAGAGGTATTGGCCTCTGTAACAGCTAAATAAGGCCAATCTAGCTGGAGTCCAGGGATGAGGACAACAGTGGCCCTAAAGGGACAAACAAGAGCAATAAGGTTGGTCTGGTCCTGAAGGCCATGTGAAGTCTTTTGGTTGATTCTGAAAGCCATAAGATGATTTTAAGAGTTTTAAAATGGTGTATATTTGGGAGGAAGGGGAGAGAGAGAGGGAGACACCCAGAGACAGAGAGACAGGAGCACATTTGTG